TTCTAACCCTTCCACTTTGTGACCATGATATTCAAGTTATTTCAGTTCTGGTGATTTTGATGTCCTAACTTAGACAATGCATTCCTATAAGAGTACATTACTCTCTCTCTCTGTCTCTTTAATCTGGACAGCGGACTAAGTTATTTTCTAAAATGCCCCACTCCATAATGTCATCTAATGGTTAAAATAACTCTCATTGGTCACATATATTTTTATTTCCCTTGCACTCCAAAGACAATACAAAGAGGATAAAAGGTTTAGGCTGGTAGCATTATAGTGTTAGAATTAAGTTACACTTAAGAATTAAAAACATTAAAGGGTCTTACAATCTAATTAATAAAAATCTCTAATTGTATGAAGGTATGTTCAAAGTTTTGAAGTGAAACAGGACACGTTTGTATCCCCAGACCTCTGTGAACACAGGGAAATCGGTTGAATGACCCACCTCCTTCTTCCCCTATATAATGTGTGGCTTTAGGAAGAGTTTAACATGGATGCCACCATCTCATTTTCCCATCCCCTGGGATGTAAAATTATAATCATGTAAAAGAGTCTGCAGGTGACTCAGACTCCTCTGCGTAAATGGGGCCTGATACAGGATACAGGGAACACACATGCACACATTTGTCTTTGTATTAATGGCTGACCCCATCTCCCATGTGTTGGATGGAGAATGGAAGAGAACCACAATTGCACAATTATTGTTTGGGACCTCTGCTCTCTTTTCTCATGGAACTTCAACAAAAAGATTTAGTTGAAAAGTCATAGCTTTTAGTTTGAATCATCATTAAAATTAATGAGCATTCAATTCTGCATTGTGCATTCATATATTTCACTAACCACAGCAGATCATTTCCACTAAATACGGAATGCTCTAACATACATGATATTTACCGGATATTCTGCTCTGTTTTAATATTTAGACTTGTCACAAATATTATGGTTATGCATTATTTATGTCTATGCTATAGTGTGGAGATAAAAGACAACGTATTAAGTAAAAAGAAACAGATTATATGAATCACAGATAAGCAAAACATTGACTCACATTCGCAATTATTTGACCATGACAAATATTAACAAATATGTCAAGCTGCAAATAAATGCCAAACTCCACATACAATGTTACCTAATGATTAAAATGCATCTCGCATTTCCTTCTTTCCTTTCTAGATACAATACACGGGGATAAATGGCTTGGGTTGGTAGTAGGAAGCCGTTAGCAATAAGTTATATTAACTGAGTTTTTCATGTGAGAATTGTAAACATTAAAGGGTTTTACAATCTAAATAATAATCTTTCATTCTCAAAAGGTTTGTTCAAAAATGATTCCTTTTCTAAAGTGGAACAGGACACGTTTGTAGCTCTTTCGCAGAAAACATTTATCACGGAACCAGCAAACTTTACACAATATTACATAATAAGCACACTGTGCATGATGTATGTTACTTCCAGTAAGATTGTCTCATTGAGCACTAATTTTCCATCACCTGTACTGTACTCACCCAGTTCTACTAAAAGAACATTCACATTTCGCTGTAAAACAAATGACATTTATAGCTCTGCATAATATATTGCAATTTGCCACATAATAAACAGATGGCCATAACAAACCATGCTCATTTCTTGCAATCTTGAAAAGGCAAGGGAAAATATTGTATAAACACTCTGAGCTACTTACCAGTCTCGAAATCCTTTTTGTATTTTTCTCATAGAAGAGAACCTTTTATTTAGGATTTTTTTGCATGTTGAAGGAGTATTGAGGGGGCACCATCTTATGCTATGAAAACCCTTTTATTGGTGTAGCAAATGCTGTGCATGCACTCTAGGAACACAATGATTCTCTATGGCAAACATTGCATTGGCCCTGGAGGTCTCACTAATAATGGAGTCAAGCTGCAACAAGAAGACTAACTTGACACTGAATTAGAAGTTAACCCCTACTTCAAGGGGCCGAAGATTTCAAATCTTTAATTACACACCCCAGTGTTATCAATAAATCTATTTATTTAAGAGCGAGTATTATTATTATTATTATTTATATAGCACCAACAAATTCCACAATACAATGTACAATGGGTCAGTTACCTTTGTGGCTGATTCCATTTACTGGACCATGACAAAGGGATGGATAGATAGATAGATAGATGGATGGATAGATAGATAGATAGATAGATAGATAGATAGATAGATAGATAGATAGATAGATAGATGCCTAGCATGCATTCACTCTAGACTGGCATAGCTTTCCTCTGAAAAGCAACAAGGCAGCACCCTCATTCCAGAGTGTTGCAACACTGGCATGTTCCTTTAGGCCCAGTCCCGCTCTCATACCTTCCGAACCTGGTAGCTATGTCTTAGCTGTTAGACTGACCTGGAAAATACTGCATGGTAACATTTGTCTTTACCATAAAAGGTTTAAATTTGAGCAGCAACAGCATGATAGTGTGAAATAGTGAGATGACATCAAATGTTTGTGGATATACACCCTATGGAAAAAATGCACAGGCTTACAGTAACTACTTTTGTTTTACGGTTACAGCTCTGCGTGTAATAACCCATACATTATCTTAGCACTGAGAACAAAGACAATCCTGTAGCTATTACAACAGTGACAAATTATTATGCAAATGTTTCAGGTGAAACCTTTTTATGCACAAACAGCGCTGACGAAAAGCTAGAAAAAGTATAGATGAAAATATTTAAGAGTTTATATACTGAAGACTGATTTTAAAATGAATGTTGGTTAAAAAAAAAAAAGTGGTTTACAGTAGTTTTAAGGTGATCATACACTATTATTCACTGATAGCAAAGTAGAGGGAAAAAATATTTCCTTCAACTGACTAAAGCTCCCTTTATACCTTGTGGCTGTTAATTGGTGCTCTTTAATAGTTCAAGACTGATCAAGGTGGCTGTTAAGGAGAAACAAATTGTTGGCTGATAGGGGAAGAATTAAAGTGACACTACAGTCACAAGAAGTGCTATAGCTAAATGTGCAGCACTGCGTTTTGCAGCAAATGTGCAGTAGCCTCCCAGTGCTTTCCTATATGAAAGCATTGAATTGCCTGAGATCATCCTGATTGATTATCTTAGCCATGCAGGTAAGGTGCAGTGACGGAGAAAAGGTAAGTTTAAACACCCTTTCTCCACTCTGAGGGTGACCTAAACTGCTACTCCAGCATAATAGTGTCAGGAATACATGTTTGCATTCCTAACACTATACTGTTCCCCTTAAAAAAAAAAAAAAATACCTCTAGTCAATGCTGCCATACTGACAAGCACCGAGTTTGACTCCTCTGTACATCAAGCTGAAAATGGGCTGGGTCCCTAATTAATCATAAAAACATAGAATGTGACGGTCCCCTTTATATCCATTGTAGATCAGGGTGAAGGTTTATCCATCAGACTATAAGCTCATTGGGCCTTTATTCCCTTGTGTTTCAGTACACATCCACCTTGTTGCATGTAGCTTGTTGTCCACATACTATACAGCATTGCAGAATATAATGTTGTGCTTTATAAATAGCAATAACATTACCAATTACCATCCAAGTGAGCTCACAGTATAGAGAGATGTTCATAGTAAATACCAGGTTCAGAGGTTTTGTGCAGGAGAGGGTTTATTATACAATTAGCTAATTAAACACAGGGACATCTGAAGGACATTCAGAGAGAACATAGAATAGAAGGCATCCCTGGTCCACTGACTACGGGCAATGTGGGATAGGACAAAATATTACTAAAAGTAGTTCAGCAGGGCTCGTAACATGGGTGCCTACTACTGTTACCCACTAGTGTCACTGGCATTCTCTGACCAAGCTCCTCTTCCAGTCTAAATTCAAACCTATAATATTCAAATGTGTGCGACACACAGGAAAAGGGGAAAAAAATGGCACTCACTCCCACCAAATGCGTAATGTTGCCTAATCATAACTTATAGGTATAACAGGTAAAGACTTAGACCTGTCTCATAATTGTAAATGACTATTTAGTGCCAACATCTTTGGGCTGTCCTGATGAAAACAGGTAAATTCTAATGCTAACACAGGAAGGTAATTGCATACTTTGGCACACTCTGCATGACAATGTAATCAATATAAGTGCCCTTAAAAAAACACATAACAGAGCATGGGAGTAATACATAAAAAATATGCAAAAGATATTAGAACAATGTATACATGATATAAGTAATACAATGAATGACAAAAATTCAGTGGTACGTTTACATTATTATGGCTGGTTTATTTTTGTCAGTGCAATTTACTTGGTATGTATTTGTGTGTGTATGTGTGCGCGTTGTCACAGAGGATGCTGCATTCCAGAGTTACATCAATAAACCGCCATGTATTTTTGATAATAATGTAAATTGCATGTACAGTGAATTATCAATACCTGTAATTTAATATGTAGAATGCTCTGCAATACATCAGCTTTGTAAAACAAACCATGTATTGCACAGAAGAAAAAAAAAAAAACATGTTACACTACTTAGTAAATATGATTACATAAAATAGTGACTGGTCATTAATTCATATTGCACATGGTAATAAATCACTAAATTCCCCTAAATATAGCTATTACTCAGTCTGCTTTATATTATAATATGTAGTTTTTCTTTCTGAGAAATCTCACTGACTTGGGCTAGCTGTCTGGTGGGAACACATGTCTGGACTAACTCCAACTTATTTGTAAGAAATTCAGGGGGGTGATACTTTCACTGTAGTGTGCAAATTGTCACTGTTAACACGATCACAATAGGCAATTATTCTGGAAATGCTAATAGTTACTTTTAAAAGACTAATTAAATGAAAAGAATGCCAAAAGTGTTCTTCAGCCACACTTACAAAATAAATTATAAGAGAAGAAGAATAGATTGTGTACATTATTTTAACTAACATCAAACTGAGAAAAGCAAACATCCATTTATATTAAACGCTGGTAAAAACGTCTAATGAACTATAATTTATAGAGCTCAGTAACAGCAACCTGAAGCAGAGACTCTAGAATGTATATTGTGTGAAGATCATATCTGGATAACATTAGATCACAGGCTGCAAATTCTTAGCTCATAAGCAATGCACTTGTGACTCCTTTTTCAGTATTTTTTTTTTTAGAAGTGATTTTATTTTTTATTTGTTTACTTTTTTAAAACACTGTTACATTTAAGGACTTTCCTGCCAAAAGGAGAAAGCCCAAAAGGAAAAGCAGAGCAAGTAAGTAATGACCAATCCTTTTCTGATGATTGTCATGGAGCCCCCTCCCACTGGCTATATTTGCATAGAAGAAATCACTGAAAACTCTTGTTTGCAGAGCATCTGATCAGTCTGTCCACTCCTGTGTAAGGTGGAGGGAGTCGGGCTCCTGGAAACCGCATGCAGCCTCCGAAAGGCTGAGAGCTTTTTATTTGTACTAGTGTATCTGTCTCTCCTCGGGAGCTCATCACTCAGTAGAGAGCGAAGCCCATCACTCAGCAGAGAGAAACCCAAACTGGAGAACACTCACCCCATCACTGAGAAGAAAGCAACCCATATTGTAGCACACTCACCCCATCACTGAGAAGAGAGCAACCCATATTGTAGCACACTCACCCCATCACTGAGAAGAGAGAAGCCCATATTGGAGCACACTTAGCTCATCACTGAGAAGAGAGAAGCTCAGACTGGAGCACACTCATCAGAGGAGAGGGAAGCTTACAGAGTAATTCATTTCTCCAGTCTCCCTAAGCTCCCTAAACATGGAGAGCAGGTCCTACTACTTGCTGCTCCTTCTTCTCCTGGCTTCAGACTGCATGGACTCTGTCAAAGGTCTCTTTCCCTTTGGGCAACCTGAATTCTCCTACAAGAGGAGCAACTGCAAGCCCATCCCTGCCACTCTACTCCTATGTCACGACATCGAGTACCCAAACATGAGGCTGCCCAATCTCCTGGGCCATGAGACCATGAAGGAGGTCTTGCAGCAGGCGTCTTCCTGGATTCCCTTGGTCCAGAAGCAATGTCACCGAGACACCAAGAAGTTCCTGTGCTCCCTCTTTGCTCCTGTCTGCATTGATGACTTGGACGAGACTATTAAGCCCTGCCGCTCGCTGTGTGAACAGGTGAGGGACAGCTGTGCCCCAGTCATGTCAGCATTTGGCTTCCCATGGCCAGATATGTTGGAGTGCAGCCGCTTCCCCCAGGACAATGACCTGTGCATCCCACCAGCCAGCAATGACCAGGTGATTCCAGCCACCAGAGAAGGTAATGCCAGTCTTTAATTATTATACTTTGTACTTATTGTGTCATCTATACATATATATTTGTGAAATAGACCAATAGGCTGTCAGATGATCCAGGACTAGATTATATTCTAAAAGATAAACAAATCTCTGGTAACTTAATGGCAATGTTCTCACAGATTCCAAAGGGAAAATTGCTCAAACGTTACCTAGTAATTCTCTCTTGTAATATAATCCAGCCCTTAAAAACAAATAACTGGGCATAATTTAAGTAATTCGCATGGCATTGCTAAACTTGTAAATACTCATTTAGAGGACAGGGTATAGAGTACAGAAATTCAAATGATTTTTGTACATTTGTAAACAGTTTCCCTGTTTTGGAGGGTGGGGGGGGTTGTTTGTTTTTTGGCACAAGACAAATAATTAGCATATATTCCTCAGGCTGTCTGCATATCTCAATTTGCAAAGATCTATCAGGTTCTAAATCGTGTTTCCTTTTGCTACATAAAGGAAATACCAAGTCATTCAATCTTTATTGGATCGGCGTCACGTGACTAGGCAACGATGCTAAGGGATACATTTGTAATTTACTTCATATGTTTTTAATAAACAAAGAAGATAAATAGAGGTATGAAAATGAGAAGAACATTTTTTGCTGCCTGATATGTTAACAGTTAGTGCCCTCAGCAAAGAAAGCCGTGTGCCAAATAGCACGTTGGTGCTTTGTGCAGTACAGTTGTGTTGATCAGATATCTTATGATGATTGTTAGTACACAAATAATTTCAAATGTCTAATTGGGACTGATATTTTCCATGTTCCATAGATCCATACAGTCGGGTAACCAATTCAACTCCAGAATGGCACTAATGTATTTGATGAAAATCATATGGGTTACTTTGGTGTTTGATAAATGTTTACTTACTCTGTTTGCAATGGGAGAATTTTGTTAGACGTTTTTTGCAGATACTTAATTGCTCTTAAAAAAATGTGGACATTTGGGATCAATCCCAAAAATTGCCTCCCTATAGTCTTTATGAAAAGTCCAAGAGAAAACAAATTCCTGGTATATTCAAAGAATGTTACCAAACTGTACTGCTTTGAAATTCATTAGCCAAATGTGATTGGAAATTCATTAGCCAAAAGTTAAGCCAAAATAACTAATCTGGAAAAATTCTACAATTAGGAGTTCAGTAAATAGCCCTGCCTCACCAAAGTAAACTGCCACCTATTTGCTCAGATTTGTTGAAAATTAATTGACATAGAGAGAAATAAAAATATGTTCTTACATTCAGAACTTTTTTAAGTCATAAGAGCATTTTATTAGATGATGCTCAAAGATGCTGTTGTGTAGACTTTAGAGCAACATGTGCTGTAGCGCCACCTGCTGGTACGCAGAGCTCTCAAAAACTTGTCTTTTTTTTTTTTTTTACAGCACCAAAAGTTTGTGATCCCTGCATAAACACCAATGAAGATGATAACGATATTGTAGAAAATCTCTGCAAAAATGATTTTGGTAAGTAGCGCTATAGAAAAAAAAAATATTGATTTACTGTTCATCAGTAGTTTCAAAATTAGAACTGTGCCTTATAATTTGGATTGATTTGCATAGCCTTATGTGCACATCATTACAAGTTAGACAAACTACATGTAATTAGTAGTTCTTAACTAATGTATAAAGTATATGTTATATTTTTTGTATATTAAAGTAATTTTTGCAGTATAAGAGTAAAATTTTACCTGTTCTGAGATTGCCGCATAGAAAACATCCTAAAAACTAACTTATCTAGAAAAATACTAAATAATATGAAAGTGGCAAAGTGTCTCTGTATAGGCAAAATAATCACTCGAATATTTGTAAAACTTACAGCACATTTCTAGTGCACACACACTGGTATCCAAACAGTTAATTGGATTCCACAGTTTAAAAAAAAAAAATGGTGAACAGTTTTTAGACTATGTTAATGCAAAGTGACTGACAGGCTGGGCAGTTTATTTGGATACAGGCTATATAACATGCAATTAGGATGCAGACACGGACTTGAACATTTTATAAACAGCACATTTCTACCTTTTCAGCGACCTCCTCCATGAATTAAGAAACAACAAAAAGAGGGCTTCTTGCCTATGTTAGTCAGCTAGGTTTGAAAATAGGAAAATATGGAAATTTTAGTGACCCAAGGAAAGCAATGTTAACCTCGCTGCTCCGTGGTTGATTGATGACTGTGCCTGTTGATTGGATAGACGTGACAGATATAATAAGTTTCAGACTGAATTACAGTGTAACTATAACTGAAGCACAACTGTAGTTCATATTTAAAACAGAACCATTAAATTAAAATAAGATGCATTTTAATATATTTATACAAATGTACCCTTCCAAATATAACAAAAATATGTATACATTTCCACAATCTTGATGACATTTACTACGGCGTAAAGTTGCATGGCAGGATTTCAGACACTCAAAATGATTTGGTTTATGTTCCATTTTCATGGAAATTGAGTTATGAGTCTTGTTTTACTGTGTATGAGTCAGAGGCCGATCACATTTTCCAAAACTTGGAGGGCAGAATTTGTAAATGCATTGCTTAATTTGCTGGAACCCTATAGTTCAGCATTTAGGGGTCCCCTGTGAATAGTAGGGTATCGTCAATTAAACTTGCAAATTTAGATAAAAAAGGGTTTGCTGGAAACCCTGTTCTGGCTTTAATTTTGAAGTTATTACCATGATATGCAACAGTAGTGTCTCTCTGAGTATTGAAATATTGGGTATTATTAATAAAATTAAAATAAACGGTGCTATATAAATAATAGTAATTACAATAAAAAAGATAACACTGAAACATTGAAAGATTTTTATTTTTAGGATTGTGACTGAATATGTCACCACTGCATTTATAGCTCCTGCTTGTTTTGTGATACCTTAATTTGTAAAAAAAAATAAAAAATTTTAAAAAAAAATAATTTTTTTTTAAAAATCACCTTCAAATTTTTGAAGCGTTAATATAAAAATACACACTGGCTATCCAGCCAACATTCAAATAAATATTGTTTTGCTTTCATTTGTTTTTAATTTCATCTTAGTTTTTTAGTGATAACACTTAATCATGTTGATAATATATTACACTAAAGTAGCCATTTTGAACAAAATCTTCACCTTTAAAAAAAAAAAAACACCAAGGGTTAATAAGATTATTAAAAAAAAATTACACTTTTCTGTTACAGATGACTTCTGCTTTTATGTTAATTTCATGGCAGAAAATATACAATTTTCTAATTCTCCCTGACTTCTCGGCAACCAACAGAACAAAGATGCAGACAAAGATGTCTCATCTCTTGTTAAGATTTAGCATTAAAAGTCATAATGTCTTTATCAGTACTTCTCTTATTTTTATAAAATAACAACATAGTACATACACACATATGCACATATACAGTTACATGTCATATACATCAAACTATGCTTATACCAAAACAACATTTTATCTCAATTGAAAAAAGCATATGTTCTCAAATACTAGGCCATAAATATAGTCTGCCAATATATCAGTTGATGCTAGATTTAGCTGGTTCTAATCTAATTTAATAAATATAATAGATGGTGCATAGATGGCTTTATATGGAGAATGCTAATTTCATGTGTATTTAGGTATTGTGCGTGTTGTCTGCTTATTTCAGCATTACTCTGTAACCCTTATAGCAAATGTGACCATTTTTGTGTCTTTGCAACCCATATAAGTATTTAATTTAACCCCTTAAGGACCAAACTTCTGGAATAAAAGGGAATCATGACATGTCACACATTTCATGTGTCCTTAAGGGGTTAAAGTGATAAATTCATAATTTAACTGTGAGATGGTGTCACAGAAAAATCTTGTCACCTTAAAATTCAATTGTACTTACATTGCAAAGACTTAACAATGCTCATCTTTATGGTAAACACACAATTAAAAATACTGTATTAATCATTACCTGTTTGTGTATATAAAACCAAATATGTGTGTATTTATGTTGAAAAAAAGGGTTTTAAGACTAGGGTTAGTAATGATCTTGTCATGGTCCTCTCACCCTGTAGTTCATAAACGCATATTGTGGTGCTCCTAAAATGAAGTAGTTTTATCTGTTCAGTATTTACCAATATTTTCCCGAATCCTCTACTATTTGAGGAAGAAAAACAATAGCTACAGACATTACTGTGACTCATTGAACGTTATACACAAACACTTTCTGTTTAGCTCCAACCACCAAGTAAAGACAGACGGCATTTTAACCCACCCATACCTAACGCTCAGTGACCCATAACCTGTATACTTATTACAAGCTGGTCTTGTTATGGGGCACACCATCCATAACACACAGCTTGGCCTTTCTTCTTGGTGATAAAGCTGATTCAATACAATAATTTATTTTATTTTTAACATTTTTAATCCTCTCCCATTAATCCGCTAATTACATATTTAGTAGAAGATGAATAAACGGCAACATAAAATAAGAGGAAGTCTTATTTTTAAAACATCTAATAATAGATTAAACTATAAGTTCCTTGAATAAAAAGTTCAAGAAAAACTAGGTGAAAAAAAAAGAGATTGTCAGAAAAAAATGTGCGGTTCAGACTAGGTCAAGCACAGCAAGAGGTAACACATGGATTTTGACATAAAGTGACTTTGATGGCCTTTGTGGTTTAAAAATGGAGCCACCTGCTGTAATTCTGTCAGGCCGTGACAGTTTCATTAGCTACACATCCCACCCCATATTGGCTTTTCTGTGTACTAATGGCCTTGTCTCTCTCCATTTCTGTCTAACCAACAACTTCTCACCCCACACCCCTCTTTTTACCCTCATTAGCCCTGAAGATAAAAGTGAAGGAGATTGCCTACATCAATGGGGACACCAAGATCATCCCAGAAACAAAGAGCAAAACCATTTACAAGCTGAACGGAGTGACAGAAAGAGATCTGAAGAAAACAGTGCTATGGCTTAAAGATGGCCTGCAGTGTACCTGTGACGAAATGAATGACATCAACGCTCCCTATTTAGTGATGGGACAAAAGCTTGGCGGGGAACTGGTCATCACCTCAGTCAAGCGATGGCAGAAAGGCCAACGGGAGTTTAAGAGGATCTCGCGCAGCATTCGCAAGCTACAGTGTTAATTGGTTTGGTTCTTAACTCTTCCAGCACTGGGGCTATTCTTTTTTTTATGCACCTTCCTCCCTTTTGGGAACCCATCCTTGAAAGAAATGTAATAAAAGGTGTGGGTTAATGGCTTTTTTTTATTATTATAATTATTAATATTGAACAAAAACATTTCTGTAAATATAATGAAAATGAAAAATGCAAAATAAAATAAAAAATATTTGTATGAAGCCAATTAATTAAAAATAATTATAGATACATATTTACTCTGTGAAAATTTGGTGACTTTTTCTACATTTTTCTAGAACAGTACTGGTTAGATAGCTTGTGTTTGCAATGACAAAGTTTGCAAATAATTTTTATGAATCATCCATCAGCAAGATGGAAAATATGTTTTTAATGGATTTATATAGATATATAATAATTCTATACATATCTGTGTATATATACATACAGCTGCTTTACAAAATTACTTTTATGTGCCAGAATAAATATAATCAGCAAATTATTGGTTGATAATACTGAGAAATTAAAAATAAAGCTGTATATGTAACGTGACAAGATATTGACCCAATTTTCAATCAAGGCAAACCGTTTTGAGTATTCTATTACTACCTAGTGGCGTGGTCCAAAATAGCTAAAATAGAAAGATGCTTAATGCTCAGCTGATTTGAAGATATTTTTTTTTGACCCAAACATGTCTGTCAACTAAGCAACTTTGGAATGTCTAGCTCTATGTTTAGTTAACAGACCTGCCTGACATTGAAGGAAAATTAGTAAGAAGTTATTCCTTAAATTTCATATCTGCTAATATACTAATCTAAATAATAATTTAAAAAAGTAAATAAACACATAAAATAAAGAAGCTAAACCCATCAGTATGTTAGTGTGGATGAAAATATGTGAAGAGGAGATTAATATGCAGAATCACATGCCTAAGAGTTTTTTACCAACAAAATTAGCAATCTATTTAGAATTTTTTTTTAAAATATTTAAACTCATTTGATGTAAAATTTTAAAAAAAATAGTTTTGTTAGGAATTGAACTTTATGTTAAGTTGCTATTTCACTATCACATGGATCACGGAGTCCTGTAAATCATGGGTGGTCAAAACCAAAGGTCTCCAGCTGTTGCATGACCACAAATCATAAGCTGCCTTACAAGCTGTAAAGATAGCAAAGCATCATGGGAGTTGTTGTCCTACAACAGCTAAGGATTTACTTCCAGCCCACTCCTGCTGTAAAGTTTTATTTATGTGAAATAAAAAATACACGGTACACAATTAACTTTATGGCATTTCTTTTTAATACTCTCAAGGTTTGTTTGCAGATTTTACCAATGTATTTTGCATTGAAAACGACATAACCTGTGTTTAGTTTGTTTGTAATATATGCAATGAGGTACCTGAAAGAGTTGTAAAATATTGCTGTGAACATTATTGTAAATAAATAAAATTAACACTATATATTCTTGTATATAAAACAAACAGTATGTTTGAAATACACTTTCATTATTTTTAAATAAGAATTTTATATGTTAAAGGTTTTTCAGAGCTATTTTATCACTCAAAGCCCCAGTTGATTTAACTGCAATTGTTCTGCTTGTTTGTTGTTGTTTTTTTGTTTTTTTTAATAAATACATTTAAAATTAAAGTTACATCTCAAAAAGGCCTTAATAAACCCGAGTATAATTCTTAAGATTCTGAAAAAAAAAAATTAGGATGTTTTCTTAAATGTTTCTTATCTTTTATCAAAAAGTTTTACTTTTATCCAGTGATCAAAGATAGAGGTATACATTCGAACATTTTTTTTTTAAAGAGATTTTATGATTTTTGGGAAAATGTCTATCTAAAATACCTATCATATGGAACATTCAACTACCAGTATGTGAGAGCAATTGTAATTAGGGGTCTATTTGTAAAGACTGACATTTTAACTGTGTTTTGATGGAAATTTCAAAAACAGAAAACACTTCTGACAGTCGGTATCCCTAGCCTTTGTTGATAGCAAAGTAAGGAGGAAAATAAAATTACCAACTCTCACATCTTATTTCCTTGGTAAAGCGATTGGGCTTATCATGATTGGTAAAAGGTTCCAATGACTGCTTTTATACTTATTCCTCCTGCCCTATTTTCTGTGAGATGGGGATTTAATAAAATAATGAGCCTCCATTTTAAATTCTTTATTTAAGGCAAGACAAAGTACAAATAAGAAAAACATCAAAGTACTATAAATGTCTGATAGAACATGTTTCCATAATAAACTTTAAGTAGATTTAGGCAATCAGCTAAAATGAATAGAGAGTTAAAAGAATAGGGAATCCTCCACGGTTCGGTACCATGTGACACAGAAGTTGTCCTGGTGGGCATGGAACACAACCCAGATAGACCATATCTAATGATTAAAGATAGATGAGAAATGTAACAGAGGTCATCCATACATTTGGTGTCTTTTCTTTTACTATTACATCTAATAGGGACTTTTGGACATCTTTGAACGAGGCCACTTTGGAAATTTCTTATAAGTCTATCGTGTGTGTGTTTCAACAAGAAGGTCCATGCGTTCGTTTGGTTCAGTTGTTCGACCAATAGTTTTGTGCTGTTACTCTTATTTTAAAGCAAAAGTGGGCAACTGCTCCTTATGTGATGTTAGCCTTCACTGCCTGCAGTAATTATACAGATTGATTAGCTATAGTTTGTTTTAGAAACTTCAGTGGTGGCACAATAAGGAACACAACTTGGAAAATTTGGAAAAGCTTGCCCCACATCAGTGGTACCTCTAGTTAAGCTATGCAAGAATTTGTATTAAATTTCATAGGTGATCATTCTTAAGTACACATACAAGGTACCTGTATATTTTCAGAAAGGGTAATTTAGAAGATAGCAAAAAAGGATAGAAATCTTAAAGCAATATAGATGTTGAATAACATGTTCTGTGATCCTCAACAACCAAATAAAAAACAATAGATTGGCTTCTCTGACTGGCTACAATCTGATAATAATAATAAAGTATTTAACCAGGAAAGGTACATTCAGATTACCCTAGTTTCCAAGTACATCATGGGGAAGTAAATTTTTGCTCAACGTCCAGAGGATGTTACTATTACTCGATTTTAATGGAACTCATTTTATCCACCTTGGAAGGATGTAGAGCTGGGTTATCCCTGGCGGTAACTGAACCTGAAACTCCCAAGGGTAATTGAACCCACAACCCCAAGCCCACCGAGCTATCTAGAATTAAGGTTCCACTCATCTATGGCTCCTGCTTCATTCTTCACATAAGGACAGTGAATGGAGCCAAACAAATTTACAGTTCCAGGACCCCTGTCTAAACCTATGGGAATAGGAAGGTTAGTTCATGGTTAATCTTGCTCTGGCTTCCATATATCAATATATCTTGCTGTACTTAGTAAACTACTAAGTGTGGTTGATCAGGCCTCCTGTCCTGACTTTGTTCCCTGGTGACCTGCTTTTGCGGATACCAAGGAACTGTCCCCAACAAGCATAGTACAAGCACATCACTAGACATGCTCATGCTATGCTCAAAACATTAGGACCTTGCAGAGAGCTCTGAAACAATGCTCCCTACATGATCCGCCATCAGTGGAAATGCAGTCTTGCATTGTTGGTGAATGATACAAAATATTTATGTGTTAAATGAAAATACTAAAAAAACATGGAATTCCACTGCATCTCTTTTTGAAAACACCAATAAAAAAATTCTAGTCTAAATATTGTATTTAGACAAGAAAATAATATAAAAAGGCAAAAAAGTGGTATAATAACTAGTTTCATTATGTTAATTCTGAAGACAAAAATATATCCAAAAATGGTGATAATATTTATTCATTTATTTTTGCCTTTATTACAAATTACCCAGATCTGGTTGATAATTAAATCTATATTTATATATTTATTACCTATATAATATGTAAATATAGATAATTTTTCTGCTGTTCCTGCTTTTTTTTTTACCAACATTTACTGCCTGTCCTCAGGCTCTTAATTTGTCTATGTCAGAAATCCAGACGAGAACCTGATCGGCCTAAATTTGGGCAAATTGTAGTTTGTAATGAATTAAACCTAAGCTAAAAATTGGTAGAGGTTTGCTCAAGATTTCTATATTATATGCTGTAATAGACTGTTCTGTTGTTGACAAGGTTTGTTTTATCTTTTTGTTACATATTTACCATTTATTTACTGTCCTTTCAATGGGGAATACTGCAGTTATTTTAAAAAAAATAGCCTACATTCACAAGCACTGGATTTTATTGAATAAATTACACTGTATGCTTTATTCAGTAGGACACAAAGTGACAGGCATTTCATAACATCATTGAATATTTTTGGTAGAGGTTTCCATCGTCTTACTGCACATATTACATATATTTTATTTTTCCTGTAAATCTGCAGTTTGACATTTGTATATACAATACCTACCTATGGACAGATAGGTTATTTTTGATTATCTGTATACATTGTAAGAGTCTGCTTGTAGGTTTCTTAATTGGAACACATTGTAGAAACTTTAGATGCAGTGCAGAAATAGAATCTGCCAATGACTGCACACAGCTGAGCTCACTCCCTGTTTAATAGCTTCTCCTTAGTGTGTTTATATCACTGATTCACATTATTTCACTTACTATGGGGTTATTTTTGTGGTAGTTGTATAAATACCTTTGCTCAAGTTTTTATTAGCCACCGTTACTCAGAACCACCTGTTTTCTCGCAGTAACTGTAGCAAAGGATTACATTTCTCTTTGTTCTTGTCAATGTAACCAATATCACAATGACCTACCATCAAGAAATACACATTGTTATTGGGATAACCACACATGTTTACATTTAACTTAACACAAAAATATAGCAAAATGATTTAAAATCAATCCATTTTCTAATAGGGTTCCTTTACATATAAGCTCCAGTAGAACTCCATGTAGGACTTAGCTGTGTTGAGTGTAGGTTTTGGCACCTTGTTGTTGATGTTATTGTGTAATATTGGACATCAATGGAAGGAAGCTATGAGTGACTAAAACAAATACATCACTAACATGGGATATCCTCCAGCCTCAACATATATTTTGCCAGTGTGGGACACTTTTCAATGCTAACATTGTCTTCAGGGTGGAGCACTCTCCAACTCTAAACATGTACTCCTCCCCTGAAGGATACTCTTAGACATCAACAAACATTTTTACAGTATGGGAAATCTCTTGGTCTTTACATGTACATTAATAGTGTGGGACATCTTGATCATCATCTTAATCTCAATTATCATCATGTGCCTTGTAAGTCAAGTTTATTTATTTATTTTAAGCAAATATTTTATTGATATTCAGTGTTATCAAAACGAGTCCTACAAATTGATGCAATAAAAGGACAGAACCACCCTATGTGTGATACAGATCCTGTTCCAAAACAATTCCACCAGAAAACTTTGGAATATCCAGTGGACATATGGCTAGGTCTGGCAGGAGTCAAATACCACTAAACTAAAATCTTATATATTAGTTCAACTAATGGTGCATCTGGAAATAGAGACAAATTTTCCATTCATCATTAGACAATGTTTTGTTTAACTTCGTTTCCTAACCACCACGATTCTCCATTATATCCCCCTTCTTTTCTGGTGAAATGGCACTCTGAGTTTAGAAATTAAAATTAGCATGTTAGGGTTCTCAAGCAAGTCACTTCCTCCCATATTCTGGTTATGGCTGTTCGGAAACCAGAAAGTTGGCAAAACTGAAGTTCAGTCCAAATATCCAAGTCTACTTAGATTTGTTCAATGCTTAACTTCATAGCTCTATCAACATACACTCACCTGCAATGCTATAGTGCCCTTTACTAGCTCTACATTGTTAACCTCTTTCAACCAATTCTATTTAGCTCAGTGATAATCGCTGAAAGCAAAATCTAGCTTCAGAAATAAATCCAAAGAGACCAGTATACATGGAGGAACCTCAAATTTTATCTAGTGTCCTGCAATATAAACTCATGTTGTTATCCTACAACTCAGTCGTTCCCCTAGTCTAGCAAGCTCTCCTCACTTTACTTGCCATATAGTTCAAAGTTCCTCTTTGGTACCATCAGTTGACTGCTACCATTCCATATCCTTATGGAAAACAAGTTTACAACCTGGTTTACAGAAAAAAGTAATACAATAAAACAAGAAATATTAGTACTCTGTCTGAGCCACCTTCATCATACGTTCAACAATGGTTTATATGATCTATGATTCTCTCAGTTACTGAATAGGTGGTTTCTACTCTGTGTCTACCCTATCTTGCCACCACCTGGCTTTTCTTCTGACAGAGCACCGAGGAAAATCACAAGCAAGTCAAAACATGTTTGCCTATTCTTGTGAGGGATTGTGGAGTGATTTTGTTACATATCTCCACTGCATATTTTTACAGCCTTCTGTATTTTGTTTCATTTTGTTTTAATATTAATTTCAATAAATATTGTCATTTTGCACGCTATTCTGCTGCTGTTTACATCCACTGTGAATCTTCTGAAGCCAGTTATCTAACTTTGTGCTCTGGTAATCGTCATCTGCCTTGATAGGTACCATTGGCCACTTTATACAGAGCCTGGGACAGCTCTGCAATTTGTG